TTTACCGTACATTGAATGATCGAAGCTGTCGGTCCTGCTTACAATCCGGGCTCGAATCGAATTCTAACGGTTTCCGACTGGAACACGAGTTGATGGATTTTGTGTAGAATATCACTCGTGTAGGGAGATGAAGAAAGAACGAACGTTTTATTCACGCTTTCATTCTTTATTAACAGTTTTTATGATGGGTATACTCCGTAGCTTCTGGAAGAATTTCATCGTACCCTAATCCGATAGATTAGTTTTACCTTCATTGAGTTAACCATAGTGGATTAGACGATTTTAATGCGATCAATGCGATTAGATAAATGAAATGAAATTGACAGCAATTAAATTTCTGGGTTGGTTCTGGTGATTCATATGCATCTACGATTAATTAGAAGGAAGGTCTAGCGATTAAAGCCCCTAATAAGCCTTATCTGACTGGGTGGTCCTACTCGAGTGGAGTTAGATAGTTGGAGGCTGCAATGCTGCATATACTCGACGACATGCAAGATTATTAGAGCCTCCATCGTTCTGCTTCGTATGTATACATACACTTTGAGCATGGCGAGCATGGCGAGCATGGCTGATCAAGTTCTGCTTCATTGCATTAGCCATAGCATTAGCCATATGTCTTTGTTAGATGATATATAATAGATTCCACTTTTAGATGCCTAACTCAAGTCACTTATTACACGTACAAGTTTCACGACATGTCCGGAGCATTAGAACTTCGAGCCCCCACAACCTCACATAGTGTGAGTGTGCGTGCTATGGCACCTGGTGGGCTGGTGGGCTGAATTTACATACCTACCGGTACAGTATCGCAACTCATCGCCAAACAATCTTCAAGGCTACAATCTGATCGGTTACGAGCAACTACTTGGGCCAGTAATGTATCTCGACTGTCTATACATGACTAGTTTATATCCCCAGAAGTTCAAACAACGAATCTATCAGATAAAAAATTTGACCATTTTGAGTCGAGCGTCCGTTGTGCCCACGCCAAGTACCGAATTTGATCCATGGGGCACAAGGAAATACATCCCCGGAACCAGGGTTACGGGAAGTTACGTCTCTTCACAGGCGGTACAAATATTGATTGAAATACTGTACAGTACCGATGTTCGATCTTATTTGCATTGCGAACAGTGGTCAGTACCGTTGCCAGTCTTACATATTTTTATCGGTAGCGTTCCAGAACCACAAAACGTTCAAACTCTATTTCTGTTGCGTGTGCAAAGTGGGAGTAAGAGAAATTAGAATTCGATATTTTCATTTTGGGGATTTTCATCGCTTGCTCCAATCGTTGGAAAATTGGCTTGAAATCCCACCTTTGATAAACATCGTTAACTTCTTAAAACTCTTGCATCCACAATATCATTCATACATATCAAGTGCTCCCTCGAAAAAGTTACTTCTGCACGCCGTTTTAGTCATTAATACAAAATATATACAAAATTTGCCATCATGTTCGGGTTTGATATTGTGGTTACAGAAACGACGGCCGTTGAGCTAGAAGTTGATCCCGCAGTTCGTGGCCTTTGGATTTGTTCAACTACATAATACATGCAGGACATACTAATGCTTTCAAGGTTGCCGATACATATTACTCCGATAGTGAAGAAGAATATGGCCCGGAGACGACGAGAACATTTCACGAGGATAAAGATACAAGTAAGTCCTCTGTCTCATTCTCCGCACATAGCACGATGCAGGATATTAACTTGACCCTCGTAGAATATAAATTACCTATCGATAAGGTAAGAGTTGTGCTCCAACTCGAAAAATGCTCTGGCTGAAAGATGTACTTTGCTAGTTCGAACAAGATAGATTAGGTTAGTACATTCTGATCATGGATAATTCTTTGGTTCGTTGTACAGCAGCTCACTTTGACTAGATCTTCAGCACCAGATGTTCAAAGTTATGATGGATGAAAGAATATACTTGCCACCTTTAAATCCAGAAGAGGTGAAGCATGTCCTAGAGTCAGTAAAGCTCATCATTCTTTAATCCCGTGATCCCCATCACTCAGCCTTATATTGTGTCTTGCTACACTCAGATACATCGTTGGAGGATTCTTCATCCTAAGACTATGAATTACAGTTACTAACTTCTGCTTAGTGTTGGGACTGGACATGGGATATGGGCAGTTGAATTTGGTAAGTAATATCAAGCTTCATTGTCAGAATGCAAACCTAATCAGAACAGCTACTGAGTACCCAAATACGCAAGTCATTGGAACCGACCTTAGCCCTTCGCAACGTGAAAGGTAAGTTCATTCTTCAATACTAGTGAGCTTTGGCTAAGTACTAAACAGTACTCCCGAAAACTGCAAATTTATTGTTGCTGATGCCGAGGAAACATGGGACTTTCCACACAAATTTGATTTCGTCCACATGCGTGATCTGATGATGTGTTTCAGTGACCAGAAAGAGGTCTTCAGATCGGCTTACAATGCTCTTGAGCCTGGCGGGTATTTCCAGATTCTCGATGCGAAACTCCCGCTAGCTGCTATTGACGACTCAATGGAAAGCAGTGGAATTGCCAAATGGTTCCAAGCATGTATTGAAGCAGGCGAGGCTGGCAGTAGACCTTGGACTAATATCCCAAAATACATGGAATGGTTAGAAGATATTGGGTTCGAAGAGGTAACAGAGACAATCTACCACAATCCGATAAATGATTGGGCGATGGGAGCAAAAGAGAAGAAAATCGGTGCAATGATGCAAAAGGACATAAAGCGATGGTTGTATTCAACCACGCGGACTGTAGTAGAGGGGTCGAATATGGATGAGGCAGAGGTCAAGGAATTACTTCTCAATGCAAAGAAATCTGGGAGGGACAGGAATATTCACGCATATATTCCCATGTAAGTTCTGATCTTCACATAAATCATGCCATGCTAATCTTTGTAGTTATGTTGTATGGGGTAGAAAGCCCTTCCCGAGCGAAACTTGAACGATCGCAGGATTTCTTTCTGGGGGAAATAGACCATGGGTGGGGATTTTCAAAAGCGCATGAAGACTGATTTTTCATCATACTTCTCTATACCAGCACTAGGATATCTGATTGGTTCTACATTACGATACCAAAAATACACTATTTATTTATTAGCTTCTGTTCCTCTACGTCAGAATGATCTTTCGTGTCCTGTTTGACAGAATTGCCGCGATGTGTATCATCGTACGACGGTTGTGTCACTAACGCGTCTACGGTGATACCAACCGTTGACGTTGTGGGTGATATATCCCTCCAATATAACCTCGTTTGATCGAAACCAAAATCATTGAAATGGGTCGACGGGCACCAGTTGAGATTTTCCCAATCAGTCGGGCTAAAGCACACTTTCACGACACGCGTCAGCCATATTTCACAACATATCCGAAGCCAACAGTTGTAGGAAGCTTGAACAACACACCGCTTCAAAGTTTGGAAGTAGAACGATTTACACTTCGTCTTAAAATCATAAACACAACTTCAATTCCCCAGGAACCTACTTGAATGTTCTCCAAGACACACGTCACGTGGCAATTTCCACCGCCCAGCATCGCCCAGCATTGCCAAGTTCAAATACGGGAGAACACAAAGTCAAACGAATGATAGAAGTCGTCTGATTACCTAGAGCTTCTATGAGAGACTTCTAGAAGATGAAAGCGCGAATCCCGTCGTGTGCATAGTACTTAGCTCCCGAAGCGCAGGGCCGTGCTAATGGACGTGGACGTGGGCTCGGATCATTCAAGACTACGGAGTATTTAGGCGCTGATGACACGAGCACACAAAGCCCAAAATATCGCGATTCGAGCTCTTTGGCTTGCATCTACTTATATCGTACTAATACACTAAGTTAGATAATTGGAGCCTTCATGTTGTGTATCGAGCCACAGCCTCTGTTGCCAAAAGATCGAAGATGATGGACATGAGCTTTGAGGATTGCAGCTGTTGATAGCGGTCTCGAATGGGGGAGCTGGACTATTTCCAAATCTCACCTTGCAAATAAACATGCCGAAATATAGCATCGCAAGAAAAATGCTCCCATATCACAACAGACGTCATTGAAAATGCCATCTCATGAAACATACCTCTTCTCTCTCCTCTCTTTCTCTTTCGGTTTCGGTCTTCGCGTTTGACAAACAATCCGAGTAGTGTGTATCCGAGTAGTGTGTAGTGCGTGGTGCTTGTCATAACTTCAATTGATCGGACAACCCCACAGGATGGTGTGGGCGTTTGACCCAAACCAAGCAAGCCATTTGAAGAGCCATAGAGAAGGTCTTGATACATGAAACATTGATTAGCTTGATCATTGGATAATAGATATGGGAATGGACCCATGCACGGACTATGATCGACCCCCGCTAACTTCTATCTTTGACCCTACATGGAAATGGAGTTTTATTTTGTTTTTATTCAGTACACGACATTGACAGTTGTATAATCTTTTCTAGTCTACAGATAGTCAATCTGTGGATGTTCAATGACCAAATTATCTCTTTCGCGTTGATGAAGGGGCATTTGCAGGGTAACCGAGGTTAGATGTGCAGTATGGAAAAGCCGAGCTGATTACATCTTGTATTATCACTTCCCCAGCAACAATATGCCATGGCTTAATGACTGGAATCTCACCTTACCATCCATCTATCAATTCATCAATTTGAAGCTGGAAGTCCGTAAAGTACTTCACTATTTCGGCATGGCGGCACAACATCAGATCTCGGATCCGCTACATCAGCCGCAAAACCATCCAAACTTTGACACAACAAGCCGTACTATTCTTCGCATCGCATATGTATCAGCAAGTCCAGCACGGCCATCGCTGTTCGACGGACACTTTCTAATATGCAGGAAATTATAGTCTTATTCGCAAGCTCGCTTCTCACGGACTTTGAATAGAGCGAGATCAGATGTGGAAAGTGTCAATCCTTGTGTGTGCGCATTGAGGTGACGGCTTACCTTAAGTCTGCTTTGACTTCACTTGACTTGTGTTGTTGGTATTTTTAGCTGCACAGAAATGATATATAGAGACCGTAAGTTCTCAGGAAGTAGAATCTTTATTATCATCATCTTTACTTCACTGTCTTCTGCTTTAATCTTGCAATACTCTTAATACCCATTTCATTCACGTACTTTTTCACAAAACCAATCTCCCAAAAACATCAATCAAAATGTCTGCTACAAACGGATCAAACGGAGCCACCAATGGCACTAAGGAGAAGGTTGATTACACCAAGGTCCCAGGTCCTCTCGGTCTTGAGAGCGCCAGCTTGAAGGGCAAAGTTGCTTTGGTTACCGGATCAGGTACGTGATCTTACTCTTCCTTTTCAGGTTCCATTCTAACATTACAAACCAGGTCGTGGTATCGGTGCCGAAATGGCCTGTGAGCTCGGTCGTCGCGGCGCAAAAGTCATTGTAAACTACGCCAACTCCGATGCCGCTGCCCAAGAGGTCGTCAACACTATCAAGAAGGCCGGTTCCGAGGCAGTTGCCCTACAAGGAAATGTTTCCGTCGTCTCTGATATCATCAACCTCTTTGCTCAAGCCAAGAAGCAATGGGGTAAGCTCGACATTGTTTGCTCCAACTCTGGTGTCGTTACCTTCGGACATATCAAGGATGTTACTGAGGAGGAATACGACCGTGTTATGAACATCAACACCAGAGGTCAATTCTTCGTTGCCAGAGAGGCTTACAAGAATTTGGAAGTTGGAGGTCGTTTGATCATGATGGGATCCATCACTGGTCAAGCTAAGGGTGTTCCTCAACACACTGTCTACTCTGGTTCCAAGGGTGCTATTGAGACTTTCGTCCGCTGCATGGCTATCGGTATGTCTACCTTCTGTCTCTTCTCCCATACACCAAGCATCGTACTAATAATCCTTCAGACTTCGGTGACAAGAAGATCACCGTCAACTGCATTGCTCCAGGTGGAATCCGTACCGACATGTACCACAAAGTTTGCCGTGAATACATTCCCAACGGCGCCAACCTCAACGACGAGGAAGTCGATGAGTATGCCGCTACCTGGTCGCCGCTCCACAGAGTCGGTCTCCCCATCGATATTGCCAGAGTTGTTTGCTTCTTGGCGAGTCAAGATGGTGAATGGGTTAACGGAAAGGTCATTGGTATCGATGGTGCGGCTATGATGTAATGGGTGATTGGATGAACTTTTGGGGGAGTTTCTTGAGATACTTTGAAGCGTTTAACTATAGTTAATAGATATGGAAAATGGAAAATAGAACCTTTATACCTTTTTAAATTCGATATTACTTGCTGTTGCATGTGTTATGTGTGACTTCTAACGATAGATAGGTATTGAGTACTTATTGACTCGGCTAATAGTAGATCCAGCGAAGGGGGATCGAATGTCCAAAATTCGAGGGCAATTCGCGCTTATGTACATTATCCACCAATATAAAGGCTCGAGAGGCTATTCCATTCTACAAGGAGACATAAGTAATGCCAGAGTCTACTCGGAGAACCGGACGGTTATTCGCGGAATATTATGGGGAGATGAACTTTTAGTTGTCTCTCACTATTGGCTGGTCCGAACCAGAAAGCAGTCGGCTAAACATCGGCCCATGCATCGAGCTCTCCCCGCACAATTCCCCAGATGAACCATCAAGCTGTACTTCAAAAACAAAACCACCAGTAATAAGTAAATTGGACAATGCAACTTTATTCATGATGTTATCACGGCGCATATTTCGATGCCGAAATGCTGATTTACCGCTTCGTCAATTGCGACATCTCGCAACAGCAGTCGATCCTCTGGTAGGCGAAACAAATGGGAATCAACAACATGGTGACAATCGGGTGAAATTAGTGGAAGTTGGACCCCGAGATGGTTTACAGAATGAGAAAACAATTATACCTTTAGCAACGAAAATAAGGTTGATTGAAAGGCTTGCACAGACGGGCTTGCAGGATATCGAAGCTGGTTCTTTCGTTGCGCCAAAATGGGTGCCACAAGTAAGCTGGGAGTCTTGAAAGTTAGATCAACAGTAACTGACTATGGGATATTGGCAGATGGCAGACGCGAGTGAGATTCTCGAACATGTTCTGCAAAAACATAATCAATCGACCAGTCCACTCAGATACTCCTTCCTGGCACCCAATAGGAAGGGTCTTGACAAAGCCCTGAATATCCTGTCTCAAAATCGAAATGCATACAACACTGCCGACGTTCCTCTTGATGATGGTCCGGAGAATCGCAAGTCGTCTCCCAATAAGCCATATATCGAGATGGCCGTTTTTGCAGCAGCGACCGAATCATTTTCACAAAAGAATCTTAATTGTGACATCGCTACATCATTAAAACGATTTGAAGAAGTCATACAAGGTGCAAAGGCAGCTGGAATGCGAGTTCGCGCCTACATATCAGTTGTGCTGGGCTGTCCATTTGAAGGCGATAATGTAGATCCCCACCGAGTGGCGGAAATAGCGACAGAACTATTGGAAATGGGAGCGGATGAGATTGATCTTGGAGATACAACTGGAATGGGTACAGGACCTAAGACCCAAAAACTTTTACGTACCATGCAATCAGCGGGAATACTGAATGAGGATATCGCGATGCATTTTCATGATACATATGGACAGGCGTTGATCAACACAGTTGTGAGCTTGGAGCATGGTATTAGAACTTTCGATAGCAGTGTAGGTGGGCTAGGTGGGTGTCCGTATAGTCCTGGCGCCACTGGAAATGTAGCCACGGAAGATATGGTTTACTTGTTAGAAAGTATGGGGATGCAGACTGGCGTTGATTTAGATGCATTGGCTGATATTGGACAATGGATTACTGGGGAAATCGGGAAGCCGAATGCAAGTAGCGTTGGAAAGGCAGTGATTGGTGCAAGAAGTCGTAAATGATATTCATAACTAACGCGATGGATATCTTCAGAAGGTTCAAAACTGTTCCATGATAAATTGAGATGGATGACTGGCGTTCGGTGGGAATTGGGGAAAACGGAGCAAGATTGTGAAATAGTGCATGTGTAGTGTTGCTTACTGCCATGCGACTTCCGGAGTGATCTAACGACCTCAAATGAATATGCAAAGCCTTTACTGCGTAATTTACACTGCTTTCCATTGATATCCTGAGCCAAATGAAGAGAGAACTTGGCACTTCGACTTGCCGCCAGGAGCGGATTTATCACGTGATACTGACCAACCTTGTCGCTTATCGCAATTGCCTCGATTCAAACAAGCTAAGCTCCACTCTGAAGCATCTCAAGCTCTCCAACCTCTCAAACAAACCAAGCTCGTCATCTACGAAACCAGCCAGCATAACCATCGCTGGAGCTTCTTAGGAGCTGAAGCATATTTTCTAATTTTCTTTTCACAACTCGGATAAATCGCACACCAAATCGCCACAATGGGAGATCCAAGAGAGTCGTCGTCGTACAGTGTTACGCCTCGAATCAGGTATAACACTATCGGTGGTATCAATGGTCCCTTGGTTATTTTGGAGAATGTGAGTGTGGAGGACGATGGATAGGGGGACTTTGAGCGTATTTTAATAATGTCGCAGGTCAAATTCCCAAGATACAATGAGATTGTTAGCTTAACGCTACCTGATGGCACCCAGAGGTCAGGACAAGTGTTGGAAGCTAGAGGTATGTGGTATTGGTGCCGTTGATCATGCTGAACTACTTGCTAATTGTATAAATCTACAGGTGATCGAGCAGTTGTCCAAGTACGAAATTGAGAATTCGACGTAAACCAACACTTTATACTAACCAGCGGCTAGGTTTTCGAGGGCACTCACGGTATCGATGTGAAGAAGGTATGACAATATTCTTAAGTCAATATCTGCGACTATTGCTAATGATTTGATAGTCTACCGTCGAGTTCACAGGTCACAGTCTGAAACTAGGTGTTTCCGAGGATATGTTGGGTCGAATTTTCGATGGATCTGGAAGAGCGATTGATAAGGGACCAAAGGTGTTGGCAGAAGATTATTTGGACATCAATGGAAGTCCTATCAATCCATATTCAAGAGTAAGACACAAGCAGGTTGGATTTCGCATTCCTGGCTAATCTAAATCAGGTATACCCCGAAGAAATGATTTCAACTGGTATCTCTGCCATCGATACAATGAACTCCATTGCTCGTGGACAAAAGATCCCTATTTTCTCTGCTGCAGGTTTACCGCATAACGAAATTGCCGCTCAAATTTGTAGACAGGCTGGTTTGGTTCAGAAACAAGGTGTCACAAACAAAGGCACACACGATGGACATGAGGAGAACTTCTCCATTGTTTTCGCAGCTATGGGTGTCAACTTGGAAACTGCGCGTTTCTTCACCCGGGATTTCGAAGAGAACGGAAGTCTTGAGCGTGTCACTCTCTTCTTGAATTTGGCGAACGATCCTACGTAAGTGCCATATCATTCCGTCACCGTAGTTCACCAGACTAATGTTTCATAGGATTGAACGTATCATTACTCCTCGTCTTGCCCTTACCACTGCCGAATACTACGCCTACCAATTGGAGAAGCATTGTTTGGTTATTCTTACTGATTTGACCGCATACTGTGATGCCCTTCGTGAGGTTTCAGCTGCTCGTGAAGAAGTTCCAGGTCGTCGTGGATACCCAGGTTACATGTACACGGATTTGTCCACCATCTATGAACGTGCCGGTCGTGTCCAAGGCCGAAATGGATCCATTACTCAAATTCCTATCTTGACTATGCCTAACGACGATATTACTCATCCTATTCCCGATTTGACTGGTTATATTACTGAGGGACAAATTTTCATCGACCGTCAATTACACAACCGTGGTATTTACCCACCTATCAACGTTTTGCCATCGCTCTCTCGTCTTATGAAGTCTGCTATCGGAGAGAAGCTCACTAGAAAGGATCATGGTGATGTTTCCAACCAGTTGTACGCTAAATATGCCATTGGTCGTGATGCAGCATCAATGAAGGCTGTCGTTGGTGAAGAGGCTTTGTCTTCAGAGGATAAGCTATCTTTGGAGTTCTTGGAGAAATTCGAGCGAACTTTTATTTCACAATCTGCCTACGAATCCAGAACCATTTATGAATCTCTCGATCAAGCATGGAGCTTACTCCGCATTTACCCCAAGGAATTGCTCAACCGTATCCCACAAAAGGTTTTGGCCGAGTTTTACCAACGATCTGCAGCTGACCGTAAGGGCAAGGGACGTGCTAGCAACAAGGATACAAAGGACAACAGTGAGGAAGGAAAGGCGAAGGATGGGCAAGAGGAAAATTTGATTGATGCATGAGCATGAATATGCTGGGTGGGAAGGTGTAGTGGAGAGTTAGTTCTAGAAGTGTGTAAGAGCGTGTTTAAGTGTTGTCAAATATATCTCTCGGAAGTCCTTCGCTTTGAATCGAGCGCGCTTGTGTAGATATTATAAAGAATGGAAATTGAAGTGGTGGATTACAATGAATCTTTTAGCATAATTGTCCATTTCGATACATGCACAGTTTATGTAGAGTTCAACTAACTGCAGGTGGTATTGTAATTAAAGCTCACTTGTCTCGTCCATCATTCCAATTATCACGTAAGCCAGTGTGGTACGACGTTCATGCGATACAACATCAATGACAAGTATATGAACGCATACCTGCATATCTAGGTACATGGCATATGGAGTACAAATTGTTGGATCGCGCTGACCTATCGGCCAGAAGATTTTCCGTGGAGAGCAGAAATAAAAGATGGGTAGTTTATGCGCGCGAATAGTACAGGGGAAGCGATGCGGAGACACAAGCTTCAGGTCAGTAATATACCAAACGGATATGTCAACGGAATGCTGGCAACGGAATGCTGGCAACAGACAGAATGCTGGCCATTCAAATTTACGGATGAAAGCTTCTCTATAATCTAATAATTGTTGGTAGCTGGAGTGATCTGGGGTCCCCAGTATCTCGATACAAGGTTGGGGCAAACCCCGCATTCTTTAGTACCGAGGATGACCAGTAAGCAGTACGGAGTACAAAGATGGCGGGAGGAAGCTTAAACGCACCACTCACAATCTTGGGACTGGGACGTCATGGAAATTTAGAATTGGGATGAGCAGGAACAAGGAGAACGAGTCAAGCTTTTACGTGAGGATTTCAAGGTAAGCCAAGGATTGTACCTGGATTCATTTATATGGTTAATTAGGAACTTGTTTATTTGTCGATAATCCAGGATCCGGGGAAAGGATTTATAGCAGCAGGCTGGGAAGGTCGGAGAGAGGAAAGTATAAACGGTTAGTCCTACGTCTCCAGCGGTCTATTGACCGACCAGCTGCAGTACAAGGTGAGCGATAATATCCCCGCATCATTTGGTCGGAGGAAACGATGAATGAACGAATGGAATGAATGGAAGAGGTGGATTGTCTTGGATTAGCTTTCACTGCATGCTAGTGTCTATGGAGAAATCGCTGGTCTTATGGATGGGAGATGTAGTTAGATGCATGCGGGGCAGTCGTATAGCTGGGGTATCAATGCGATATAAGAGTTGTAATTTCCCCTCGGATTTCAGGATGAGTTGTTAAACAATTGCTTTGTTTGCTTTATTCTGAAACTTTTGTGATTGTTGATTGTTTTTGGATTGACGTCCGATTCTAGAACGGCGACGCGACGCTTCGAGAAAGAATCCTGTGCACAGCAGACGTCAAGTCAATTGAGAAGATCGTCAAGCGGAAGCTTCTTTGACCATTCACTCCTGAGATAGCTGAACGATCGGATGATCATTATACCCCAGAAACCCCGACTTTTAAATTCACTGTGGAGACGGTGATCTACGGCTTAATCGACATCCATAGTCTTATATTTCCTAAACCTCTCCCCCCGAAAACAACATCGTCTTTTACATCGCCAAAGTTACTCCTTCATCGCCGCGTCACCGCTTCTAAACTTTAACTTCTAATTGAACAGTTGTTTCCCAGTAAAACAACTCTACAATATGATGTCAATCAACATGATATCAACAGTGCTCTTCGGCGCGCTAGCAGGCCTGACTGCAGCTCAATCTCCCGGTGAATCTTACACTGGAGTAGCTGGAAACAGCACCATCGCAGGTTCCTCCCTCGGTCCCGACGCCAATGGCAAATACGAGCTCTCTGCTCCGGGTATCCGTGCAAACTTCATCGCCTATGGTGCATCCATCTCCAATCTCTTCATCAACGATACCTCTGGTATCGAACGTGATATCGTTGGAGGTTTCGACAACGCGAGCTATTATGGGGTAGATAGACAACATCCACATTTTGGTGGTGTACCGGGAAGATACGCAAATCGCATCAAGAATTCGAGTTTTGTTATTGATGGAGAGACGTATAACGTGTTGCCGAATGAAAATCCGACAGCGGATAACCCGGCGGGAGTTGATACGTTGCATGGTGGTCCAGATGGTTGGGATTGGAGAAACTGGACTGTGGTTGCTCACACCACGAGTTCGATTACTTTCAGTTTGACTGGTAAGTTTGACTCCAATTTTTGATTTCCATGGTTTGCTAATGTTGAGAATCACAGATCCGGATGGAGAACAAGGATTTCCAGGAGAGGTTGTTAGTTATGTGACTTACACTTTGACTAACATGACCTGGTCTTTCAAGATGATTGCTATTGCTACCACGAAGAAAACTCCTATCATGTTGAGTTCGCACGTATGTTGTTTGTTCCTTTCCCAAAAGATTTATTGTTTTCTTCGACGAGTACCTAACAGATCAACAGACATACTGGAACCTTGATGGCTTCGCCAACAATGAGACAGCTACTGCTCTCAACCACTCTCTTTATCTACCATATGGTGGACAACGAATTGGTACAGACAGTATCCTCATCCCAACTGGAGACATCATCGCGAACCAACCCCAATCACTCAACGACTTCTGGAGCACCCCAAAACAAATCGGAGCCAACTTTTCCAGCCCCGATTTACTAGGAAACTGCGGTGCCAACTGCACCGGCTATGACACAGCCTATATTACCAACCGTGATCCATCCACTCGCGCGGCATGGCACACATCTCCCGTCGCACGTCTCCGTTCCGCTTGGTCCGGTATCCAAGTCGACGTCTACAGCGACCAAGACGCTTTCCAGGTATATTCCTGCGGAGGACAAAACGGATCCATGGCTCTCAAGGAAACTCAAGGACTCTTCAACGTCTCAGATCGCCCACGTACAATCCAACAATACGGATGTGTAGTCATGGAAGTCGAAGACTGGATTGATGGAATCAATCAGCCCGAATGGGGTAGAAAACAAATCTGGGGTCCGGAAGATGGCCCATATGTTTTGGAGGCGAAGTACAAGTTTAGTTTGAACAGCACAGATGTGGGATTGTTGGGGGAGGGATCGGGTTAATAAATCAGGTGATAATTTGTTTACGCGGGGTTGGTATGCGCTGGTAAATCTGATGATTGGGTTTCGGTGGGGGGTTATAGTAATTTAAAGTCTACCTAGTAGTTAATAAACAAACCCAACTTCAGAAGAAAGATTGAAGATTATCAGAATAGTAATAAGTGAAGCAAATGTTCCTTCAGAAGCAGAAATGATATGTCACGAGATAGAACGATACCCGATCAGTCGAAGTTGACCTCGATAAACCCAATCAGGTGACTCGTCGAGCACTAACCCCATTGAGAATAGCTTTGTAAACCTCACGAGGACCTCAACTCAACTAGGTATAAATTTTTAAATCTCCTTTAAGGCTCGTTCGAATCGATTTTTTATTTATTTAATAGGATCTCTATTAATAAATCGTTTTATAGAATTGTATATATTAAGATGAAATCAAATTCAGAATGAATAATTTCCTTCGTTTAGTTGAAATTCTAATGCGGCGAGTATTTATACTCATTCAAATTACGATATAATTCGCGAGTAATGTATAGTATAGCCCCTAGAGTGCTTTTCGATTAGTCTGAAAGTTTGAGTCTACTAATCAGATAACGCTACTTATGCTGATCGAACGATTATTCACCAAGAAACAACACTGGTTGAATTTCATCCAATTCCGGTGGAATTTATTGTTTGTCAAACTTCTGTCTCCTTGTTGCAATTTCCCAATGCGGGTTCGGATCACAATGTAAAGAAAAGAAAATTCTTTCTTTCGCTTCAAGTTCAAGGCCTTTGTCCGCTGAATTTCCATTGCTTTGCCATAATGCATTGGAAATATCAATTTAATTATCGATGGCTCTCTAAGAATATCTAAGAGAGAAGATTGCAGTTTAACTTTTCTTCTAAATTTACGCAAAGATATGGCTGCTGGTGCTCCCAATAGATTTTACCCAGGAGGCTTGAGGGGTGTAAGGAAACCTCCAACCGCCGAAGAGTGGGAGAAATTCTCCGATTTTGAAAAGGATCAGAAAAGAGGAGAGGAATGGATGAGCCGTGTTTATGGATGGGATATCAATGCGGATGCCGATACTTTGCCCAATTCTAGATGGATCCCGGACAAGGTTTTAGGGAAGGGCATTGCAGTCTTCAAGAAGGGGATTGTCGAACCGGGTGGTCGTCGTATAAGTTATGAGAGAGTTGTTGTAAAACAAGCATCCAGTCCTGAAGCAAAAGCAAGGCTACAAAATGGTGCGGCCATTCTCGATCACTTACGACAAACTGCTGAATTCGACGCCGATCATATAATTCTACCAACTAGACCATATGAAGAAGACTTGGGTACTGGCGCGGATGATACCTTCGATCCTGCGTATGTTCACGAGTTTGCCCAGGAAACAGTAGGAAGGACATACACAACCTACTATGAACAAGGAAATCTCAACCAGTGGCTAGAAAACAATTTTGGGTAAGTCTTTTGAATTGGTAGTCCTTCTACTCTCTAATGAGTCTTTCTAGCGAACAATATCTTTCAGAGAATGATCTTTGGAGCGTTATAGGCTGTATGGCGAAGATCTGTATGAGACTAGAGCACGGTCATTCGACAAAAGCAAAACACCGATTGCGAGATGAATATAAATCAGTTGTTCATCTTGATATAAGACCAGAAAGCAGTAAGCATTTTATTCTGTTTTGAGACAGTCACAGGCATTAAGTCATCTAGTATTTTGTAAAATGAACGATGGCCGAGAGGAGCACAGTAACGGCACAAAATTTTTAGTAGGTAAAAGTGTTCATATGAAGGAATGGTGCTAATGCGATTATAGCTTGGGAAATTTGAAAAGGCAGCAGTAATCCCCAGCGATCCAATGGATAAAACATGGATGTTTCGTATTCGAGGACGTGCTGATCCAAAGTGGGCAACTCCGGTTTGTAATTATCACCTTATGACAAGATCCTGCGCTTAAATTTTTTTAGGAGCAAAAATATCCCGGCATGGAGGGACGTAGCATTGGTACACCTTGTAATATTTTTGGAATAGGTGCGCTGCTATATTACATGATAACAGGAAGAGAACTCGGGGAAAGTGCCTGGAACATCGGTATATCAGACTCACCTACTGATCAAGGACTGAAGCTTTATTTTGGTGCAGACCTAATAACAGAGCCTATCGCAACACAACAGGAGTATTCGAAAACGCTGATTCGAACAATTCTACGATGCCTCTCATATCACCCCAAGGATCGAATTGATGCAAAAGAACTCCAAGCATTGAGCGAAAAGGCATTGAACCTCGTTCACAGACAACGTATGCCAGGAGAAGTGCAATATAATCCGGGCGATCCCGCCGTCCTTCTTGAACCACAGGAAGAATTGCAGCCTAATGACTACACTCCCTCAGATCTGAGCCTCAAGATATACAACCCGCCCCCAGATCAGCCTGAGACGTTGCGAGCCAGAGCCGATAAATGGCTTAAACGTTTCTTCCTATTCCCCGACAGCGCGAGGAGTCAACAAGCGAGAGAGAAACAACGATTAGAATATGAGAGACAAGCCGAATTACAGAGACAAGCAGAGGCCGCAGAAGCGGCCAGAAAGCAGGCACTGGCTGATATTGAGGTTGCTGCAGCAGAGGAACTTCGTCTTCAAATTGAAGAGGAAGAAGAAGAAGACCGTAGAATAGCCAAACAACGTGCAGAGAAGAGAGCTAAAATGGCTGCGGAAATAGCACGAAGGAAGGCAGCCGCTAGTGGTGAAGGGGAGAAACAGATACTACTACCTCAACCTGTTCGTAAACGTGATCGATCTCCTGAGCCTGTTGAAGAGAGAAGCCGTAAAAGAGCCCGTTCTGCATCACCTGTTAGAGCCAATACCCCAGAAACAGCGGCGGCACAAGGTGGTGTTCAACCAATGGATATTGATAGCAACAAAGACAAGAACATTCCACCACCGGGAGATAAGGACAAACCTTCTGGACCTCCACAGCCTCCAGCAGGAGCTCAGCTATACACATTTGCTTTGGACCCAAACATAGATATTGAAGAGGACCCGCGAATACGCGGTGATCCTTCTTTCCAAGTTAATTATGCTGGTATAAATACCGCCGTAGAGAAATTTGACAACAACCCCACTTTTTGGAAGGATCGGGCTTGGTGGAAGGGTAATCTCTTTGAGAAAGCGAATCTTCCGCCAGAGGGCAAAGCCTTTTATGATTTTATCCATAGTAAGCATGGGAAGATACCCCAAGCGTTTTCATGGTCAGCTCAAGCATTGGCATTGCGCAAGGAGGCAAAGGAGAATCAGGAACAAATTGAGAAAGAAAAAGAAAAGGAGAGACAAGAGAGGGAAAGACAAGAGAGGGAAAGACAAGAGAGGGAAAGACAAGAGAGGGAAAAGGCCAAAGCCAAAGAGGAAGAGAAATCGAGAGTGCGACGAGCCTACTTGGACGAGTTAACGCGAAGCAATGAGAGAGACAATGCAAGAAAACAACGAATTGAAAAGAATAAATGGAATCCACGACGCGATTGGAAAATTGATATTGATCCTGAATACAAATTTAAATACGGTGATGTGACATATCCTGTTCGAGCTCTGCAGCATTTTCGATCGCCGCCATTTCCGTGGAAAGATTATGCTTGGTGGGAGGGCGCTCTTATGAAGAAGACTGAACTTCCTATTGAGGGCTCGCAATATTATCAAGATTTGGCAGAACAGGGAATACACCTTGTGGCGCATGCAGGAGGCCATACAGAAACAATGCAGGAGTTGGAAAACGTAGCGGAGATGATACGTAAATTCGACTTAAAACAAGCCAAAAAAGATGAACATTTGGGGTTAATCAATCCTCCTCTTGGTGGCGCAGCGAGAGGCATAAACGATACTCACAAATCGTCTCTCAGTCGTAAAGCTCGGGATGCCTTGAGTGGATTGAACCCGAGGTCGCCGAAATATTGGGAAATTTACAATAGACTGGGTCCTGGAGAAGATGTTTCAGATCCCGATGACTCTGTGGAGGAGGTAGCCGCTCCACCAGCAAACGCTCGCCATCGCACTCCCCCTCGAGAGCCTCGTTACATAATCGAATCAGCAGTACCAAAATCAAAAAAATCAACAAAATCAACAAAATCAACAAAATCAACAAAAGAAACCAAAAAGAAACCTGCTGTATGGTTCTGCCCATACTGTAATGAGAAGGATGGTGGTTATATGCAAAAACAGTCATGTGAAAGCCACATAAAAAGCAAACACAAGGCGAAAAAAGGACGACCCAAAAGCACCCCATTTGTTCGTAAGACCGCCGCTCCAAAAAAGAAGTCATCATACAGACCGCCTTACGAAGATTACGAGGCTTAAATCTTGTGTTCAGAGTTCAGGATTTTCGTTTGATTTATATAGTTATTATACTTGCTCAATCCGAAAAAGTTTCTCCATGTATGGTTTTATATATTTCCATCAATAGTGTTTTGCAATTGATGTAAAGATGCAAATGTTGACTTGTCGATGATATGACTCCTTCAATAAAACCTGATTAGCACTTTCTAACTCTCAATTTCATCATGATGCTCGCGCTATTTACCATCAGTGATTCTATACCCATTGGTCCTTCTCAACCTAGTAGACACTAGATGATACTCTTCTTTCCAACCCATCTAGCCCACTTACTACACACCTCTCACAATAAATATCCACATAGTCATCAAGATCATTACACAGTCCTCTCACTCACTTCTTAGTACCTACTTAGCAATACGTCAATACCTACTTACTAATGCCCCAATCTTCCTGTCCTCCTCTACTTCCTCACTTGTATATATCAACTAACTTACTTCTCTAGTCCCTTCCAAAACTCTACCTGGATGGTTATTCAAATCATATCATGAACCCCATCCCATCTAAGTCTACCACGTGGAGTCCACCCACCCTGAATATCTTTCTCGCTACCTAATTCGTGTCGTACATCCATATCACCTGTATTTATTAATTCCATTATCAGTACTCGATGATATTGAAATGCCGTTGCCCTAACACTAAATAACATACCTCTCTTTCACCATGCTGATAAAAGGCAATACACTCGCATTGAACATCTAGTAGTATGTTCTCCCCAAAGGTGTTTCCAATACTAATACGTAACTTCGCGAGAGCATGACCATTATATCTCGTTTCACTGTAGGATAATCACGCCAATACATAAATCCAGATGTTTAGAAGGAAAATAAACTGATGCTTGAATATATACACACTCAGAGTTCCAAAAATCATAGGTTTCTATTCATAAAACTACCAAGGTACAATACCAATTTTGATCCAATCTCACGCCTAAAAGCGCAATCTAGTCTGATCTAGTAGTACCACAATACAAAAGATATTCATACGTCCATACATCCCATCTCTCCCTTTCTCATTATCTTCAAATGATCAATGAGGCATCCCCGTGTTCTTAACACAAATTTGAAATAATTCATCCACAAATGTCAGCGGCTCAACATCTTCAGTAACTACCGCTGTAACCCCCCTATTCCCCTGTTTAGCATCAAAACCTCTCCCTTTCCCATTGTCCTTCTTATCTGAGCTAAGCTTCACATCTCTCTCAACTTCCGTACTGACCAAGATTCCCATGGATTGATACGAAGCCGCTCGTATTGGTTTTGGTCTATCACCAGAACTATTTTCGTCTTTAGAGCGGCCGAGACTTACATCCCAGAGTGTTCTCAATCGTTCCATAGTAGGCCGTGATTGTAACTCCCTGCTGGGCCTGATTCTGGTGATGAGGTTTCCGAACGGATCATGTTCCTCCACTACTTCGACTTTGAATTCTTCGCCAGATCTGGCAGGTCTCCATTGTGATAGAAGTCTCTTGTCTTGTGACCTGTCACGGAATGTTGCTGCAAATATCGGTGAGAACTCTCGATATATTGCACGCACAAAGAAAGAATGATCTAAAGAGTTTTTGTAAACACGTTGTTGCAATTTAAAAAGGGTGAGTGGCGCGAAGGTGCATTTCTTTCCTGGCGCACGACGAGTATTGATAGGTACCATGAGCCGAAAAGCGATGAGAATTCCTACTCCAGGCCTATGGTTTGCGGAAGCTCCACGACATGGAGCCTCAATTGGTTTGGATATAAGGCATGCTTCACTGAAAATAGGATCTCCAATTTCGTATTTCAATGATTGGAGCGTGGTAAGCAGTTGATTGGAAAATGTTTTCTCCCTTGTAGGTAATTCTTTTGCCTTGACTGCTTTGGCCAAGAACCTTTGACATTCCGTTACATTGAGGGTATTCATTGCGGTCAAAAAGTCCATCTGCCATTGCTCCAGTGATTCGAAAGGCAAGGTCATAGTTGGGAGCTGACTCTTAGCATCTTTCCTGACAACAATATCAAATCCTCCTCGGACAGAAGCTCGAATTGCGAAGCATGCAAGATGACAACCTGGATCCAAAATCTCATCCTGATTTGCAAACTTCCATAATTCCGACAGATGCTTGGTAAGAGTTTCATCCTTAATCTTCATGGTATTTGATAGCAGAGTTAGAACTTGTCCAATCTTCCCAAACCGATATCCCGCTGCCTGTAAAGCCTCTGCCTCACGTCGCTGAACTTTCTTGACAAGAAAGAGTAGTTGACCAGTTCCTGCTCCTGCATCTTTTTCGACGTCTTTTCTCGGCCTTCTAATGGCGCGGCGACCACCTTTGATTTTGTGCTGGATATCCCCAATTGTTTTTTCTATTAAATCACTTACTATAGCAACACGAGATTTAATGATTGCTGACAATGGAATTTTCTGCCCGGTACCAATGACATCGTCGTACAAAGGGCCTAGTTTTTCCATGGGTATACGGAGATCATTCGCAAGATCAGCGGCTGCAATGCAGAAAAGCTCTCGGAACACAATAGAATAATCCTTGATTAAGTCGCCATCGTCATCCACAAGACTAACTTCCTCTCTACCTCTAAGGTTATGCTTTTCAATGTGAGCACTGATATTGAGGCGCATTGCTGGAATGATATCTTTAACGCAATGCCAATTCTTCGCTGCTCTGAATATCCACAGAAATATTGGATGCGAGGTGTTGAAAACCTCAGTTAATGACTAAAATTCATTAGCATTTAGGAACACGAGGGTACAGCATGAGTTCCCTTACGCCCTCGATGAAGGAACTGGTTATTTTTCTATTTGGCAAACAGCCTTGTGGACCAATCAACACATTTCCATGTTTATCGAATATGGCTGCGAACAAAGTGAGCTTCTGTGAACTGTTGATGCTTTCTTGTCTTCGGGTAAAGAGCATCAATTTTAATGTTATGTTGACAAGGGCAGCGACTATGGTCTAAATTAATCAGTATGGACCGCAGAATCTGCGAAATTCCAACGTACCAAGACTGTAGCGACGATTATCGCAAAATGCTCGGTCGGATTTGAAACCGGAGGTGTTGGTCGACTGTGAAGATGGTAGTGTGTTCCAACAGATGATAACCAATGTAACCCGGATATGGAAAAAGCAAGTAAACAAGCGCAGATACCCTTCTTCGACCAGCATGATGCCCAGGATGAACGCCACAGGAAAAATAGGTAGATAGATCCTACACTGCCTGCAATGCCTATGAATGCGGAAATGAAGACCCATACAATATTATAAAAGCACGCATAGTTCGAGATGCTAGCTTGTCCAAGGTAATGCATACCGCATATTCCAAGCCCAGCTAGAGTCCCACCTAGACCAACACGAGGCATATCTATCGTTTCGTTGGAGCCAACAGTCCAGAATGCGATGAAAAAAACTATAACGGGTAAGAAGAACGATTCGGAGATGGAAGACTTATTGTATGAAATTTGTAGTGTAGGATCGCCTCCACCGAGAATAATTCCCTCTTCGCCAATGAAATGCATACACCAAACAGCAACACCTCCCATTGCTATCGAAGCGAACACGAGAACAGTCCTAACGTCAACTTAATATATTAGACTCCTAAGAGATTGGTAGATTCATACCAATTATAGCGACCCTTTCTTGTTGTCCTCAGATTGAGCAGCTCAAATGCAGTCCAGGCGCCCACCAGGCTGACCAAGAATGATAATAAGATATAGCCAGCGTCATATTTCTTGTCGATAACATGCCCTTGCAAGTCATGCCAGGCCTGAAGGGTACTATTAATGGGTGCCGTGGCGTTGGTCGAGTTGCTAGTGTTGACCATAAATGATATAGTGCACGGTACGTTGTTGAGTAAGAATCAGTGCTACGAAAGCACTTGTTCTGCGCAAAGTGTTTAAGTGGTCGAATATCGAGGTATGGCGATATTGCCGTCATTTGAATTGTGACTTGCTCTGTATCGATCAATATCCTCTCATCACAGAGCTTGAGATGTCGTCCGAGACGGCGAGCTATCCCCGAGAGTGTCAATGTGCTTTGGGTTCTAATTAGAACCACGTCCAGGGCTGAATATGTGAAAGGGGTGGGCTAGTAGGTGAAGACTTGTAGGTGGTCGTCAAGGGGAAATTTGGTTCGGAATATAAACCAGCAGTTAATTTCGGTTCCACGTTCTGTTCAAGAGTGAGTATCGAGTCTGGTTCGAACCCTAAGATAACTCCAGCATATAGAAGGCACTCAGTGAGATAATTCATAAGGATTTAATTGAGTAATTTGGTGAAGTAAGCCACAGATTTCAGATGAAGGTAGTTGAGGCAGGCTTGATGTGAGCAATGTATAAGCAATTTGTGATATTGAACGCTGGGATAGGTATGAATAGCAGTAAGGAACAAGAAGTAATTATGCTATATGTGAAGAGGGGCAAGAAGAATAGTTGTAGGTAATGCGAGATACATTTCCAAGGTGTTTGTATGGATTCGGCGATGTGATATGAAGAGATGATAAATGAACTTTCGCAATAGAGAAAGCCATTTGACCTAATTCCATTACTACAATAGGAAAGAGGTCAAATACTAAAACGACGAACAAACTCACGTTTGCTATGCCGGTAACATGGAAAGAACGACGTAGATGCCAAAAAAGCCCAGGTGGTCTCTGGTGAAGATCCGGAAGAGCGGCCATGATTCTTACGCTCAATACTTGAGATTGTTTTGAGTTCATCATTTCTTATTCCATCTAAGGATCAATGGTGCACTTGAACGATCTTATAGTTTCGTTGTAGAGTGATTGTAGGAGTAGCGTATAGGGATTTGTTTGGTATTTTCGTGGCTTGGTGTGCAGGTGTGATAGCCCTTCTGGCTGCTTTAAAGCTACTCCAGTCGCGATATTAAAGCAGCAACAACATGCTAATGCTCCACTACGACTGCACGCATTCTACAGCTAGACTACCTATACACCAAGCCTACATCATGATGGTAATGACAAT